TAACCTGCAAACCTTTTGTTCGTTACCTTGAGCCTGGAAACCAGGAGGTTGTACCATGTACACTTCTTCTAGATCACCATTTAGAAATGCATTCTTGATGTCCAATTGGTGAAGGTCCCAATCGAAATTAACTGCTAAAGAGAAGAGAACCCTAATGGAGTTCATCTTAGCAACTGGTGCAAAAGTTTCTGCATAATCCACTCCATACACTTGAGTGAACCCTTTTGCCACTAAACGAGCTTTATACCTTTCCTCTATGCCATCAACCTTATGTTTCACTGTAAATACCCATTTACATCCAACTGGTTCTTTTCCCTCAGGAAGATCCATCAATTCCCATGTACCAATTTTATGTAATGCATTAATTTCTTCCTTCATTGCATCTGTCCATTCAGGCACTGAGAGAGCTTCTGCCACATTCTTAGGAGTAGGTACACTGTCAATGGAAGAGAGGAATGCCCGAAAGAAAGGTGAAAAATGTTTTCATAGGAAACAAAGTGGGAAATGGGGTGCTTGGTGGTGCAAGATCTAACACCCTTTCGGAGAGCAATAGGAAGGTTAAGATCATCAACACTTGAGCTATCAATAGCAATCGGGTCAGAAATATCAATGGGAACTAAGGTACCTGAATGTGTAGGATCCATCCCTGGAGAATGTGATGGCATTGGTGGTACAGCTTCTTGATGCTCCATAGCTCTTGAACTTGGTTGGCCTTTATGACGATGATAGAAAACACGAAAGGGAGGAGGATCAAGTAGAGGAGGGAGCTGAATCTGAGGTAGAGGAGGGTTCTGAACCTGTCTGTCCTCATGCCTACACTCCCCCTAAGGAGAAATAGAAAGAAAGGTTTACTCTCAGAAAAGGTGGCATCCATGGAAACATGATATTTCCGAGAAACGGGATCAAAGCACTGGTACCCCTTCTGATTTGAAGGGTATCCCAAGAATATGCAAGGAATAGCACGAGAATCTAATTTCCCACGAGTGGGTGACAGGTTTTGAACGAAGCAACGACAACCAAAAACACAAAGAGGAATAGACAAAAGAGGAGCCTTGGGAAACAAAAGCTAATGCAGGGCTTTGTACTCTAACCACTGAGAAGGCATACGGTTAATGAAATAGGCAGCACAAAGGATAGCTTCAAGCCAAAAGCGTTTAAGGACATTCATAAGAATCAATAGTCCCCAAGCTACTTCAAGAAGATGGCGATTCTTTCTTTCAGCAACACCATTTTGTTGTGGTGTTCGAGCACAAGAGCTACGATGGAGAGATCCATGTGAAGCAAAAAACTCCGTAAGGTCATTATGGAAGTATTCTTTGGCATTATCAAATTGGGTGAAAATCATTCTTTGGAAGTCTTGGATAATTTTTGGTACTTCACCCCTAATTCTCATGGGGTATACCCATGTATACCGGGAATAATCATCAATAAAGGTAATAAAATACATGTAGCCGCTTTCTGTCCTCCGGTCCGCACTCTTTCCGGGCCTCCTTTTGGTCCACTTCCTCTATTTTCTTGGCTAATTCTTCCTTTATGACCTCAAGTTTTCCAAATTCCTCCTTGTTCCACTCCTTGACCTTTTCCTTTAATCTTTTTAGCTTTTTGGAGAATCCCACCACTTTTTCCCTAGCCCTTATTCCATCTTCTGACCACTAATCTTTTACATTTTGCAAAAAAAATTGAAACTTCCAGCCACATGTTCTCAAATCTAAAAGGTGTAGGGCCACCAATAAGATTTTCTTGGTAGAGGACTATTTCCAAGTGATCCATCTCCTACCACAATCCCTGAAGACTAGAAAAATACAACAATAGAGGCATATCTCCATGCCTCAAACTATTCACCTGAATCTTCAATTGGTATGCCCTTGCTCCATCTAAAGGTTGAGAGTAAGTGGCACCAATTGTATCGCAGATCTCCTTGGTTGTATTCAGAAACATGTAACTCTTATAAATGTGTGGTTGCATTGAATTAAGCAACCACAACATCACCATATAGTTATCCTAAGCCCATCGTCAATGGGTAGCATCCTTGGAATCAAGTTTTTTACTATCTCCTGTAATATATCCCAATTTACCACGACCTCCAACTCCAATCTTAACAAACTTGGCCCATTGTAAATAGTTTGACCCATCCAGCCTTACAGTGGTGATGGTGTTGTTATTCTAGAGCAATGTTTTAAAACGCGGAGGCGTGACGCGAGGCGTTCCACTACCTAGAGGCGTCAGGCGTAGTTCAAAACACAAGAGGCATAAGCCTCTCAAACACAAGCCTCATTGAGAGGAGAGGGGTTAGAAGGAGAATGAAGAGGAAGGGGGGATCTCATTTTTTTCTTTATTTTTAATAAAAATCTTTTATATTAAGAAGAATAAAGATGCATAACAATAGTTGAAAGGGGGGGTTTGGGGGGCAAATCCCCCCAACCGAAGGGGCAAGGGGCAAACCACTTTCTTTCCCCTGATCTTTTCTTTCCCTTTCCTTTCCTTTTCTTTCCTTTTCTCTTTTTTTCTTCTCTTTCTTTTTCTTTCCCTTCCCTTTCTTTTCCTTTCCTTCCTTTCCTTTTTTTTTGTTTTTTACATCTTTTTATATCAGATGTGCATGAGGCGCATGAGGCGTACGCTTCTAGCATGCCTCATGAAAAAAGCGCAAGAGGAGTACGCCTCAAAGGTGTCAACGCCTCTGGTATACGCCTCAGGGCATTTTGGGAGTGCCTCACCTGGAGGTACGCCTCCAAGCGTACACCTCCCACGCCTTTTAAAACACTATTCTAGAGATCAACTAAACTTTCCATTAGATTGAATGGGTAGCATCCAATCTTCACAAACTACCTGCCTTTTGATCATCTCAAAAAACACCCATACCTTGTCAAACACACAAGAATACCCTAAGCACCTTAACTTCACTTCCCAAAAGAAAACAGCCCCAAGAACCAGCCCTGGGACTCTTCTGAAAGGTAGATTATCAACCCAAGAACCACCAAAAGGCTGAAACAATGCTGGACGGTTGCTTAGAATAGTCCAGAAACCCTTTATATTGAAATCAATCTCCAATCCATCCCTAACCACCACTTCCTAGCTGCTCCAAATATGGTCAATTACTTCTATGATAAGAATGCACACAATGGAAGCACCTTCTCTCACTGATTCTTCCTGTTTTCTAGGCCAGTCTCCAAGACCATAGCTTGGGCAGTAATATTCCCTAAAAAAAACTCCAAGTATCAAGCCAAAAACCAATGCTGATCATTTTATCAACCCTTCCATCCTCTCGTGCAGCTGGCTGATCTTCAATCTGCATGAAAACTGCTTGAAAATTGTTTAAGATTTCTCTAATACCAAGTTGTTAGCTATTGATCAAAACAATACCAAGTTGTTAGCTGTAAACTTCAATAGGAAACAATAAAACAGTAAGAAATAGGGTTTAGAACTTGTAGAAAGAGAAAGAGAAAAGAGAAGAGAAGAACGAAAGGAAGAAGAGAGAAATTGGTTGGGAGGCAAAAAACTGTGCAACCGCTCCTAATATTTTATTATATACATATTACTAATTACAATAATTTAACCAAAACACCCCTACCCCTACCATCCTAATTAGGTGTTGTCCCACCGTCCCACACTAAATAAGAGATAAAAATAAACATAAAATGACTAAAGAAAGAGGCCCAGTAACTAAACAGAATAAGTAAAGAAACAATATAATATCTAAAACACAGAAAGCCCATTGGGCCCAGTCCATAAATACATCCACCATACAAGCAGCCCACAAACTCAACAAAACCCAAGACCATTTTATAGATTAGAAGTGGTGAGAGGAAGGTTTTCTGTTTATTTGTGCTTAAAATCTTTAAGTTAAGACTGGGTTTGGTTGATTTTGAGAGGAGGGAAATCATAAAAATTAGTTGTGAATCTGCAAATCTGCCAAATTACCATATGCTCTGCACAACTATTGCTAATTGAACAGCAAATGGAACTTCTCTTTTCTGTTTTAATTAGTGCTTTCAGTGCTGAGAACAGTCTGCAGCTGCAACAAACTATGTCTACTATGATAGAATATGATGAAGGACAAGAACTGGTGGTGAAGATGACGACAGAAGCCATTGATCAGAATATCATGGATGGATGATAAGATCTAAAGATGACAAGAGAAGAGATGAACTTTCCACATTAGAGTTGGGAGTCTGGATTTTGGTTTTAGAGAAGGCGACTTCAAATCCGTATTACTTCTGGTGTTTAGAACACACATAAAGATGAGCTTAGTAGAATAATACATACCAATTATGTAAGCATGGGCAGTTCCACGGATGACTATTCATCCAAGTACAATATTAAAGAAACCTTTTTATGGAAAACAAAGGCATTTATTAGATTATAAAAAGAATCAATGTACACAAAAATGCTTAAACATCCCCAAACATAGGAGCCAGCATCACTCTCTCCCCTCATAATTTCACTAATTCATATAGCTTTTTACATCACAGATTCCCTAAAAGGCCCCAAAACATTTATCTTCTGTCTACCATTATTAGAGGACTTTTTTATAATTAACTCATTAAATTGTATTCAATACCAATAACCTTGCTTACCTTTCAGAAAAAAGAACAATCATCAACCTTGCTATCCAAAATTTAAATAGCAAGAACAAGTTCAAAGCAGCTTATAGTTGGCCAGTATTTTAGAGGAATTTGAGAAAAAAAATGTCGAAGTTTTAAAAATAAAAACAAAAATAAAAGATCAAAGAGAACCAAGTCTGTACTTATATAAAAGTTCATTGCTATTTCTCTCTATTTTCTTGAAAGTAGATGGATGTTGAACTCATGGTAACATGAATGCTCTGGAAATCAAAATAAGAACAAAGAAGAAAAAGACAAAATCAAGAGGATAATCTTTTTTATCAGCAAAAAATCAAGAGGCCAATCATCATCAAGTTCAATGAGTTTGTCACAAAGAAACAGAGACAAAAATCCTTTTTTAAGTAAACAAAGAAATAAGAGAGAAGTTAAAGAACATACAGAATGAACAAACTTGCTGAAGAGCTGTCACCCCTTTGTCAGTACGCCCAGCCACAGCAGCACATCCTTCAACCGGTAAAGACTTATCTGTAAGCTGTTTAGCTTTTTTCTCATCAACAAATCTCCCAAGACATCTTTCAACTAATCTGTACAGTAACAGTTAGCTCAGCATGGAAAAGTAAAAGAAATCATAGAAACTAGTGAATAAGGACCCAATTTAAGGTTTTTCCTTTTAATTTTCCATTTTTTAGGGAAATAGCTTGAAAACAAACAGAAGGAAGCAAGAAAACTAATTCAAACACCCATTCATTCAACAAAATAAATAAGATAAGAAGGAAAATGGGAGAAGGAAAGAGGTGTTATATGAAGGCTATTTACTTGTTATCAATTTGATAAGAATATAGTTTAGGAAAAAGGAAAAAATCTTATGCAACTATCTAAGAAAAAAAAATAGTATGCAAATAAAATAAAACTATAAAAACATCCAAGCACTTGCCACTTCCTCAAAATGTATAAAGTGATGCGACCACCTTTGATAGCATTTAACAGATTATTCTCAACTATGTCCAGAAAAAGCACATAGGTTTCAAATGCTTGCAAATTTGAGCAATATAAACTCAAATTTGATAATCTATAATTCTCCAGCTAAGTCACTCGCTAGGGCAGTGCAAAAGGAAAGGACTGGGTTAATTGATTATCATACATGAAAGGTTTAAGAAAAACTTTGGGGTGAGGATGAGCATCCAAGGAGCTGGCTCTCTTTTCTATTCCATTGGTATAGGTGAAAGTCTATTTCTTGCTTGTACTTCACCTCTCAACAACAAGGAAGAGAATTAAGAGGATGTCACCCATAGATTTAGAGTATAATGAGCAAAATGGATGGGCACATCCAGAGTCCTATGTGATGGGAAAATCCCACTTAGGCTAAAAGAAAAATTTTATAAAAAACAGCCATACGGCCAGCAATATTGTATGGAACAAAGTGTTCAACAATCAAGAAACAACATGTCCAAAAAGTGATCAAATGAGGGAAATGAACTTGGTCAAAAAAAAAATGATAGGATCAGAAATGTTGTATGGACAAGTGAGAAAACTAGAAATGATAGGATCAGAAATGAACTTAGTCGGAAAAAAAATGAGTGGCCCCAAAAAGTAATCAAATGAGGGAAAGTATATTCAGATGGTTTGGTCACATGAAAAAAAGACCATCTACAGAACCAGCAAGAAGACATGATCTGTTACAAGTGGAGGGGTCTAGAAGAGTTGGGCACAGACCAAAAGGGACATGGGTGGAGGTGAGAAATGATTTTTGGGCTCATTATTTAACAATGGATATGGCATTGAACAGATCAAATGCAGAATAGGATTCGTGTAGCTAACCTCATATGGTGGAGCAAGGCATCAACATCATCATTATCATTTAAGCCTTATCCCAACTATATGGGGTCGGGTACATAAATCATGTTTCACCATTCCATTCTGTTTTATCCCAACTATAGTTAGACAAGGCTTAGTTGAGCTGAATTGTACTTTACCACTCAATCTTTTCTTAATAGATCTTTAATAATTTACTGATTAAAAATTATTTTTGGGTAATACACAATAGAAACTACTTACTCTTTCTTATCCACGTAAAAGAAACTTACCCTTGCACAGTTTTCAGGTCTGGCTGCTTCTGCCACCCATCAAAGGAGCCCCCATGATATGACAGAACTATTTTAAGAGTTACTCTTGCCCACCTCCCTGCCCCATCTTCAGTGGAAACATTTTCCAACTTACCTTCCTCAAGGGACTTTGATTTTTGAACAAGATCCTCACATGGGTTTGTCTGTTTACAAAGCCCTCTAGAATAAATATAACAAATGATAAATCTCACAAGTCATTTAAACAAATCATGCACAACATAGAAGAAAATGAGGAATGAGATAAAACCCATATGAGTGAAAGGAAAAAGAAAACACATCGAAACCCAAGTTTGCAGTTTAAAAAACCTGTAACCCACAATCAAGAAAGAATATCAAAAATTCCTTTTCTCAAACACCATAATCCACAACTAACAGTTTAAAGGTATTTAAAGGAAAGTGAAATAGCTGGTTGGGAATATATTTCTTTAGTTGGTTAATTTGTCAACATTGCCTAATGAAAATAGTAGAACTCTTTCCTTTTCTTATTAGAAAGAAAGATATAAGAGGCAGAAGAATTATCAGAAATGCTAAAAGAATCAAAACTTACAAGAGAGAGACAAGGCATCTACTAGATGTGCTAATAGAATCAGAAACTTACAAGAGTATATATACAATAAAAAAAGAAAAACACTTGCACTTCTACCTTTTTTATTAGATAAGGTAGGATGTTGTTAATAAATGAATGGGAAAGTCCCACCTACAATAAGAGTTCTACGAAGTATGAAATCTATGAAATGTGTACAGTAATGAATTCTTTCAAAAGCAGTTGGGGTCAGATAGATAAAAGACAAAATCAAGACTTTAAATTAAAACTCAATTCATATTGCTATTTAAATGATTAACAAGACAAAACACCCAAAACTGATTTACAAACTAAAGCTACTAAGAACTATGAAGATAAATAATTCTGAGTCAATGAGCTCAATAACAAATGTTAGAGAATCAACTAATATTGGACATTACGGAAATTGTAACAACAAAATATTTTGTCCATAGAGCAGACTCGAGGTCGAAGATTCCTACTTTGAGAGGTCTAAGACAAGGAGATCCTCTCTCCCCTTTCCTTTTCACCCTGATTGCTGATGTACTTGGGAGATTGATCCATAGAGCAAACTCGAGGAATCTGATAAGAGGGTGGAGAGTAGGAAGGGAGAAGGTTCCTCTAACACACTTACAGTTTGCAAATGACACAATCTTGTTCTGTGAAGCGGGGAACATTAATTGGATCCGGAATCTAAAGTTGGCAATACAACTCTTTGAGCAGATTTCTAACCTCAATGTGAACTTTGATAAGAGTTGTGTGGTGGGAGTGAATGTGGATGAGAGGGACCCAAGGGAATTTGCAAGTGAGTTAGGGTGTGCAATCTCAAACTGGCCCCCAACATACTTGGGCCTCCCTTTAGGAGATAACCCTAAGAATGTAAGTTTCTGGAATCCGGTGGTGGAGAGGTTTGAGAAGAGACTGGCAGCTTGGAAGAGAAATTATCTTTCTTTAGGAGGGAGAGTCACTCGCATTACCCTAGCTAACCTACCCATCTACTATCTGTCAGTGTTTAAGATCCTTTCTAAGGTCTCCAATCTCTTGAAAAAATTAATTAGGAATTTTCTGTGGAAGCCAGGAGGGGAAAAGTGAGATCATAGGGTGAGTTGGGAGGTGGTAACTAGGTGCAAAAACCTAGGAGGTCTTGGGATTGGTAACATCAAAAAAAGGAATATGGCTCTACTAGGGAAATGGTTGTGGAGGTTTACATTGGAAAGGGATAAATTGTGGACTGAGATTGTGGCAAGTACACATGGGCTGGAAGACAATGGCTAGGAACCTGGAATCTTGGCAAGGGCTACAGCTGCTTCTCCTTGGAAATCCATTCACAATCTACTTCCAGTCTTTTCCCCTTGGATCAAGTATGGTCTAAACTTTGGTAACAAAATAAAATTCTGGGAACAACCTTGGGTAGGGGTCTCACCTCTGAAGGACCAGTTTCCATCCTTGTATGCTCTATCAGACTTGGAAAATTAACCTATCTTTTCTTTCTTAGTTCCTTCAGACTCCACTTCTGGTTTTCGGTAGAATCTTGGCCTCCAAAGGGCAATTAGGGATACAGACTTGGAAAGCTTGTTACCTTTGTTAGCCACCCTTGAGAATGTCTTCCTAAATCCTGATAAGGAAGACACCAGATTATGGACCCCTTCTACCTTTGGTACTTTCTCCTGTGCTTCATTCTTTAAAACCTTAATTCAGCATTTTGTCCCTTTGGGTTGTCATTTCCGGCTAAGGAAACATGGAGCAAGCCTATTCCTCCTCGGGTTGGTTTTGTCGTTGGGAAATGTTCCTGAAAAGAATAAACAACTTTGACCTACTCCAGCAAAAGAGACCCAATTATTGTCTACTTCTTAATAGATGTGCTCTTTGTAAAGTTGATGGGGAATCCGGCTACCACCTCATGGTCTTTTGTAAAGTTTGTGTGGGAGTGGGTGTTCTCCCGCTTTGTGTGTTCTTGGAATCCGCCAAAAAGTGTACAAAGTTTGTTCTCTCCCTCTTTTTTCCGATGGCCTAAGAAACGAGGGAAGACTATGTGGAGGAGTATTAGGGCAGTTGTGTGTTGCTGGTCATTGTGGGAAGAAAGAAACTCGCGTATTTTTTCAGACAAGGAAAGAACCCCAGAAGAACTGTTAGACCTAATCCTTCTAAGGGCTGTCCATTGACTAAAATATTTAGAGTTGTTTTCAGACTTTCCTATGGACGACTTACAAAAAAGTTGGAAAGAGATTGCTTCCACTGCTAGGTGCAAGAGGACTCTTTGTCCCTCTTGGTCCCCCCCCCATTGGGTGTTATAAAGTTAAATTTTGATGGCAGTAGTGTAGGGAATCCAGGGCCCTTAGGAATTAGAGGAATCTTTAGGAATGAGGAAGAGATTGTTATTGCTTTGTTCTCCGGCCCTATTGGAGAAGGCGACTCTCTTTACGGCTGAGATCCTTGCTGCGCTTGAAGGAATTCGAAGAGCAAAGGAATTAAATATCAGCCGTTTGATCTTGGAAGGTGATTCGAAGGTGGTGGTTAGCTGGCTGAAGAAAGAGGACAGCGGATTGYGGACCTATAACAATGAAAAGAAGCAGTTCTTATGGTTATGCAGGGACATTGAGATGCAACACAGTTGGGTGAAGAGGAGTGTCAACTCAATTGCTGATGGGCTGGYCAAGCAAGGGATGAATAGGGAGTCTGTCTTTTGGGCTAGTCTTTAATTTTTTCTCTTGTATTCMCTTTGTATTATGTTTTTGGGGAGCTAAGATATTTTATCTCCCCTCTTGTATCCGTAATCCTTCTTTTCTTTTAATTTAATGAAGATGTTATTATTGATCAAAAAAGTATATTTTTTTTCCAAATACATAAATCCAAATGGACTATACAAACACCAATTAAGTTATGCATAATGATTTGCATTCTAGCTTCGCCAGTAACACTAAATTTTCAATTGGTTCGTCAAGTATTCAATTCTAAGAAAACAGATAGACTCRTCRAAAATAGTAAAACCACCAAATTTTCAGAATTGTGGACATTGACAACCAAAGCAAAGAACCAATAAATGTAAATAATAAACAGAAGTCMATCAAAAAATACCACTTTTTCTCTTATAAAGGAAATTTCRTTCATATCCCGAGTAAGATACAAACAATCTAAATAACCAAAGCATGCATTGCCATCATTGACCAAGTACAGYATTCTGTTTGTTCACTATGTAAAAAGGGCCATTATCCAATGCTGGTCCCAGCTATCTAGGGTCTTGGAGGGGTGGACTGTGTACGAACCTAACATTTCGCTTTCTTTTTTCCCACGAAGTGGTCACTGTCAGGCTCAAACCAGCTTTGAACGCTTGTCAGACCGAGAATTTACCATTGCACCAAGCAATGGCCCTTTGTTTGTTTACTAAATCAAAAGTAAACAAYTTACTCAAGAAGCTAGACAGTCATTACCCAGAGTATTCTAAGACGTATGCCCAGCAAGAAGAATGAAAAGGAAATACGAATCTACTGAGACCCACCTCAGTTCCAAACAAACCACGCAATGATGAGTGCCCCTTCACCAAATTCAAATAGAAATCGTTAACGTATTGCCATGGCCTTTGGTACATGAATTGATAACTCTCCCTGCCAATAGTATGAACATCAATTATTTGGGTAAAATTGATAAATTTAATAGTAATGCAATCGTTGATGAGGAGAACAAAAATGAAATTATAGTACCGGAAAGGAGAACCGCAAAAAACACTTRTGCAATGCTTTATAAAATGTTGCTGTCCTATCTCAGGATACAAACTCGACTGGTACGGGTCACGGAAATGTAACTGGGCCAACTCATAAGTCGATCAAGAGTAAATTTCCATGTATTCCCCAGAGTCCAGTATTAAGCTCAGTCTTCCAGAAAACGCCCACTGGCTTCCAAGTGTTCCCCGGAACAGACTCTTACAAAAGTCACCCAGAAAACAACTAGGTCGACTCAGAAATCGAACAAAACTAGATTCCAAGTGTTACTTGGAACCAAGTTCTACAAGCCCGAAGAATCACTATAAAACCCATTTGARTAGTTACTATATACGAACTGGATTTTCAAGGTTTTGGCCACAACTAACAAAATTAATATCAGCATAGAAAATGAGTTTGACTAAACCGAGTCATTTGCCTCAGTTTGGATCACAGCCYATTCGGAGCAAAACAGGCCCTTATAGACGACAGGAACAGGAAGAGAGTACCTCGCAGTCCACCTCGCTTGCTTGCAGGGATCAGTGTGGTTGTAATGTACATAAACCTTGCTTTCTGATTGGTTTTCCATCGTAGAGTTCCGAATCCGTTCTACAGCTATGCACAATCTTCGCTTTGTGTACGTTTGCATTAACCCTGTTTAGAACTTCTGAAATGTTAACTACCTCGCCGGAATACGCCGCCAGTGGACGGCGGTCGAATATATTTGGGGAACAAAGGCGGGTATTATTGGGAGGAGCTTAAAAAAAAGGGAGAATGACCGATACCCCCGTCTCAGAATTTCGAGGTTCAATGTACGGTCGGGGTAGGTGCAATGTCAATTCAAAGGCGGGCGTGTGGGTAAAAATGGGTAAACTGCTTAATCCTCTCTAAGTTTTGGACCGTTGTTAAAATTTCCTCTAAATTTTGGTAATTGCAATCACTGTCTCTAAAGTTTCTGAAAGTTGCAAGTATACCCGCTCTGTTATTAAAGGCACGAAATGTCTAAAATGACATACTATTGAAACTGGTTTCAACAACAAAAAAAATTTCATCATTACCTTTGAGCCATTTAAAGAAAGGGCAATTTGGGAAGTATATCAATTTTAGAAAAAAGATTGGAAGGGATTGAGGAAGTAATTAATATGAAGAGAAATTTGAAAAATAAATATTTTGGTCAAATGTAACTACATGGGATTTTTGGACATTTTCATGCCTCTTTTTAGAATATTCTAATAGAGGAGTCTATTTACAACTATGTCATGAAGTTCAAAGAAGGTGATTGCAAATGTAAAACTTTAAGGAAAGTTTCAGCAACAACCAAAAACTTTAGGTGAGGTTTCAGCAACAACCAAAAACAGTTTGACATACAACAAAGATTTTTATAAGTTATCATTTTGTTTCTTCTTTCTAAGAAGGGGAATTCTTTAACACTCAAGATGGTTATCCAAATAGGCCATTTCCCCACGGATGGAGAGGCAAGAATTGACTCTATAGTGTGGGTTTCACCAGGCGAAGCTTGTTAGGAGCTTCTGCAAATGCAAAGATAATGGCAGAAGATATAGCACAAAAATAGAATTCTGAAACAAAGCACTTGTTCTTTAAGTTGTGACTCATACAGAACTATTGTAAATTATACCTTCCATGTCCAACCTTGTATCGTTGTTCATATGAATTCTATGTTAATTGGTCCCCAATTTGGTTTTCATAAAATTTATATACAAAAAATAATACCAACTTCCTCCCTCAGGTGGAACAAACACAAGAGACCACCTTGGAAACCCACATCTCATTCAACTAGCACATGCTACAACCATTTCCCAATGTCAAGAACATCTAAAAATTGCCCTAACTTAAGTACTTACTACCACACAGCATGAGACTACTGGTCACCAGACTCCGTAAAACTTCATTTAGGCCCAGTAGAATGTAATGAACATTTGGACTCACAGAAAACGATTAAAGTCCAGCTCGCCCACTAGCCAATTTTTTGTCTTAATGAATGCAAAGTATATCACGACAGAATAATATAAACCCCGTATGACTGACTACCAAATTTCTTCTTTCCTCCTAGGATATGATCAAGTCCTATAAATCTTGCTATCTCCTATAAGCAATTAGCAAACACATGCAATTAATGGGGATTAAGTCAATACAGATAATATGTGCACATCATTGTTATAAAATCAGTCAGAGAGAGAGAAAGAAACAGAGGGAGCACCGGTGCAAGTGAAGCTTTCATACCAAAAAATTCATAGTTAGTTCCACGTTAATTCTTTAACTTATAAGCAAAGCCCTTGAGAAGCTTTATATTACAAAAGCTTGGGGGATTTCAAAGGCATCTATCTGTTCATATTTATTGTCATTCACTTCTTCCCTCTTTTCACTTGACCTTTTTGGCTCACCTTCTTCAGTTTATCTTGTTTTTGTTTTAGTATACAACATAACTATATTTCTTTTTATATGAAGCTTTTCAATAAACACATTATGTGCCACTTCACCCTTTACTTGCCAAATGGCTAGGAAGCCTCCTTTTATAGCACCTTTTCTTTTCTTTTCTTTTCTTTTTTTTGTTTTAAGGGAAAAAGAAATTCAAATAGCCTTTTCTTCTATTTAAAAATGCCAGTATATAATACTTTGAAATTCAAATACATAAATTACAATTTCATAATTATGATGATTGCACCTAAAACATAATTAAAGATCATAATCTTCAAAAGAAATTCAATTAAAATGTATTTAAATCCGTTTCAATCTTTCAAGAACTATAAGTAGCAAGCAACTAGATTTCAAATTAAAGGAAAAAAGGATCATGGCAAGCTATAAGAACGAATAGATAAGAAAGATAATAAGATTAATAAAACAGAGTATCAATGCTACTTCAAAATCTTCTTACCGAGAAACTCGGAGTAGCTCATTCACTATAATTTCATTCACAAACTAATACAATAAAAAGAGTTGGTTCAAAAATATGATCACCTAAAGTCAAAGAAATAGAAGATTTTTCCATTGTTAAAGCATGACACAAATTTGAAGTTCTCACCTGTATCTGTTGCTACTTCACGGATTAATGTCCTAAAATGGCAGAAGATCAAATGAATTAGCAGTGGAAGAAGAAAAAGAAGAAGATGATGATAGAGAGAGAGAGAGAGAAATCTTACCAAACACTGTTAAGAAATAGCCTTAACGATTTGTGCACCGAAACTTGGGTATGTTAGGGCAGTATGAGAATTCACTTAATAGGTGATCATAGTGATAGATCAGCCCCTTTGTCAAACAAAGTGAATGATTGGGACTGCACATTCTCTCATGGAAACCAAAACTGTCGGCGATTTCAACCGTGTTTGATAATTGTTTTGCAAAATATATTTATATGATATATTATGCTTAAAAATGTTAGACAGCTTTGTATGCCCTTAACTTCAATCAGAATGATGTACTTTATGAGTTTATTGTAAATGAATAAAAGTGCATATTTGATTCATGTTCTCTTGGTATGTTTCTGTGTAATACCCTTAAACTTGACACTTAATAAGACTCGTGTTAGTTTAGAACGTTCACAGCCAGTGGATTGGGGAGACCTATCCTGACAAGGCTGACACTGTGGTGCCACCAAGTCGGTTGGGGTGGCCTATCTCAGCTGCCAGGGTGAGACCCTAGGCACATGCAGTGTAAGATTAATAGAACCTTTGAACCGGATTAGATTTCCAGTATTGCCCTGGACCTTGGAGATAGATGGGCAAAACTGGAAAGTTACACCTAACCCCTAGACTCGATTATGATACTACACTAAATGTCGGATTGGGCTGTATTTGATGTACCAATCAGTGAGATCCTTAGCAGGGGTCAAAACCTAGGTATGTTGGCACAGTCCGAGAATTCATCTGAGTGGGTRATCATAGTGACAGGATCAGCCCCTTTGTCGGACAAAGGTAATGATCGATGATGCACTCTCTCTGATGGAAACCAAAGCTGCCGGCAGCCGATTTCAATTGTTGAGATTTTGTTTTGCAAAATATATTTATTAAAGATATATATATATATATGGTTTCGAAATTGTTTGCAAAATGTTTTAATTCACGGAATCCATATAAGTAGAGAGTGCAACACTATTCCTTGCAGCCGAGGGAGAGGTCCTCTATTGTCAGGCAGTGTATGATCATTATGGGCTGAGAGGTTAAGTCTAAGACCATTGAGGATAATACCTGATGAGCTAATCTTGCATCTGCCCACAGTCCTTGGGTGTTACAAGGTGGCTTGGCCTAGGGACCACTTAGGGTAAGTGTTGGGCCCATAGAGCCCATAAGATGGGTTTTCACGGGGTGCACTGTCCATAACAGTGTATTCGCCCAGGCCTTGTAACAAAGGCTGGGTTGAACCCATGTGGCTGATGTGTAGATCAATGTTTGGGCCCCACGCCATACAAGGAAGCCCAACTGGGCAGTAGTTTGGAGGCTAAGTGAGTACATAACCTTAAATGGGCCTTGAGCCCATTTCGAACTGGGCTGATTTGATAAGTCAATTAAAAAGGGGGCAAATTCTGAGATTGATCAGCTGATAGGATTGGGCCTAGACCCTATCCACTTAGAGAGTCTAAGATTTAGATCTGAAAACCTCCTAATTTGATTAGGAGATGGCTGATCTGATCTGAAAATAAGAGAAGGGTTATCCCTTATCACTTAAAGGGACTTCTAACCCAAATATGATTTGGATTAGCAATTCCTAATGGGATTAGGAGCCTAAATGGGCCCACGCCATTGAACCTAAATGGGCCAGCAACTATCTTGGGACGTGAGTCACTTGCTTAATGGGCCCAAAGACCACAATTAATGAGATTAATAGAGTTGTCACATAACTGCTTAAGTTGTCATGTGACTTGGGCGAATATGGGTTTGGAACACCCATTTTCATAAGAGGATAATACCTATCTTAGGATAGAGTCCAAATTGAAATAAATATTTGAATTACAAACCTTCTAATTCTATTAGGAGAGGTGTTCCATAAGGATTAAGAGAGAAGGAAATCGAATTGCTCCAAATAATTATGCTTTTCATCTCTCTCTCTCTCTATTCTTGCCGCCCCAAAAGCCCTGGTTCAATGTTTTGATCAATTCCTTCTCTTAATTTTGTAAGAAAATTGCAAAGAAACATTGTGGTCACCTCCCATGTTCGATCATACATTTTGATTACAGTTTTGCTAAAAATTACGTTGTTGAACTGGCTTCATTCAATGTTGTGTCATCTTCAATGGAAACTGGTTTTTGGGATTCAATTTGGATGTGAACTACCACTTTGGGAGATACATCTGTGAAACCCATATCAGGTATACATCTCCCTCCTTTTGGTTTCAAATCTGATCCAATTTCGGTGTAAGAACGATCCTATAAAAATGCATTTTTTCTAAAATTAGACAATGCGATTCCCAAAAGGCGGAAAGAAATTTTCGAAGTTTCGCCCAACCATCTAACATGGTTTGGCCATCCATATGGTGTATCTCTCATTCCTTCAAATGATGAAGTCGATGAACTACCCAAGGAAGGTGCTCATCTCATCAAAATTGCTCATCTCATCATGTTCAAAAATAGCCTTAAGGTTGGGTTGTAGTTCCTAATAAATAAGCTGGTGATTCAGATCCTAATAGAACACCAAGTGATCATTTCTCAATAGGTTTTGAACTTAGTGAGGGTAGATATCTACAATAAATATCATGTTGGAGTTTTATCCCGATTCTAGTATAAACATGATGGCCAAATCATTAGGTGTAAGACAATACCACATCCATCACTATTAGGAGTGACAAGAAAATAAAGATTGTTTCTTTTCTAACAAAACCCAA